GAGGAAATGTGGGCACATCATCCAGACTGGATGCTGTGACAAATGGAGAGGACCTGCTGCCAATATCTGAGGCCCCTGACAACAGATGGACGCACTACGCAAACACAGACAAACCTTACCAATCCTGATTTTTTTTTTTTATAGCCTTAGTTTAACCAGATGTCACTCGGGCTGAGATGTGTCATGAAGGGACTTCATATCAGTAAAGCAACTGATCTGTAAACAGACTGTCGAAAAACCTTGAGTGCTGTACCCTACAAGATAATATATATTTAATCTGCAGTGTATCAATTTGTGAGGAAGTACACACAAACCTCTGCTCAGCAAGAGTTGCCTCTTCACAACTATAACTCAATACCTAAAATATTGAACAAGAGTTACAGTCCCCAAAACTACTGAGCTGGTGATATCTTGACTTGTCCTCTTGTGCCGGGTTGACACGTGGTTTTGAGTGATCGACTACTATTGGACCTGTTAAGCATTAGCATATTAGCATTGTGAGTATGTTAGCATGATGACATTTGCATTTAGCTCAAAGCACCGCCGTGTCAAAAACACAAAGCTGCTAGTGGTACTGTTGATAGTCTTGTTTCATTTTTAATTGAAATAAATGTATAGGTCTGTTTCCTCAATTTCTGGAATTTCTTTAGAGGGCAGAGGTTTTCAACCTATAGAAACATTTTACTTTGATTTCCTTTTGGTCTTTTTGTTTTTCTTGTAGGTAGGCTACTATTTGCCACAGTGGCTTTAACAGTCACAGGGCAGAACAAGAGCAGCTTCCCGGATTTTGGAGCCATCCAAGTCACAGGATGTTTGAGAGTAAAATAAAAAGTGCTAGTGGACTGGGCACTGAGACCAGAACAAGATCTGCTCTTGTATATTTTCTAGTAGCATATTTCAGTTGATTGACAGTCTCTCTCTCTCTCTCTCTCTCTCTCTCTCTCTCTCTCTCACTCTCTCTCTCTCTCTCTCTCTCTCTCAGATACATGCTGCCTCCTGCTTAATCCTCAGTGTGCTAAAAGCATTTCTCACGACTCACTACTCACAGCAAATTGACTGTAAATCCAATTTAGTGCGTGTTATCTCTGATGGGTGAGAATCAGATTTGCAACTAAACCAAAAACATTTCTTGGGCAACATCAATTATCCGTTGCTTTAATTTTCACCTGAGCAAGGCAGATGGGGCACAAATGATAACGCATACTGTAATTTACGTTTTATGATTATCTTTTTAAGTGCAAAATCTACAGCAGGTGAGCTCTTACTATAAACAACTAGGTCTGTACGTGTTTCATAGTAAGTCTACATTGCATGATGGGGATCATACACCCTAAGGAGACTCTAAAAACTAAAGACTTAGTGATTATCATGTCATTTGTCTGATAGCTTGCAGTACTGAGGGTTTTATCTCGAAGATACTTCTGCAGAATATCGTAGCTGTCTGTGTTGGGATATTTTAGCTTTAGCTTTTCCGGGTCTGGAAATGAGCAAATATCACATTTTTTATATTTCTAATGTACAGATTTAAAGACTAAACTCCCAACTGTTTTTTTAATCTTTTGGTCTGTTCATACTGCCTCATTCTTGCTGGATGGTTGCCATGCAACCATGACAACAGGCTCCCAACTGTTCTTTTTTCCTCTCCTCGGTGTCGTGTGTATATGTATGCCAGCGTCTGTGTGTGTTTTTACTATATGTTGAGGTCGGGAGGAAGATTAAGTTATCCTTCAGCTTATCTCCATTAAAATGACTGATTATGCTGTCAGCAATGGTCGTGGCCTAGATTTGAAAGACAGCTTTGTTTGCTCTGGCTGGAAGCCAGTAGGCTTTGTAAATACTACCGATGCACTTTTATCTGCGGACGAGTGTTACCTCATTGTGTTTATTAAGAGCAATAATGGAGTTTGGTTAATGGAAGAGGTACAGAGGACATTTTTCCTGTTGCTGCTGCCACCGAGAAACCGTATAGCCTGCGGTTCACTTTAGCATCATTTGCATATAGATGAGAATCACCTCACATTATTGCACGGGGGGTATATTAATAAGGGGGTTGTTGAACAGGATACGGTACTGTACAAGAGACTTGTGTCGATGCTAAAACAGGTGGGGCCCAGAGCGCTGGTTTCTGCCTCACTGAAGCCATATTGTCCCATGAGTTTCACCTCCCTCTGCTCTTCATCAGGATTCATGAAGGATTTAAGAATTAGTTATGTGTGTGGATCCACTGCCAAGTCCCTGAGTAGACTTCTAGCTAGCTACTTTTCTAAATTACTCCACCCAAAGGGAACACAATAACACCACAGGGACACTAAAATTGCTTGACCTCCTGATCCCTTCATATCTGCTCCTGCTGGTCCACTCCGCTGTACCACTATTACCCGTCCGTCATGATCCAAAATTGATTTCACTGGCTCAGTGGGTGTGACATGGACATCCCCAGGACCCACTTTCTGTTTTTCTCACTCTTGCTCACACACTTGTTGGCCTAGCTTACACATTCCCTCACAGTTGCACTTTCTTGATAAGTATTAGTAGCCGTTACTGATTATCTGGATAAATGCTGCATTCAAATGCATTACTTTTGATTGAAAATTGAATGCTTATTTTGCTAAGCCACATACGCTAATTAAGTGCTACTGTCAGTTCTTAATCTTTCTTACGGCCCAGTCTTACGTTCAGATTTGCTTACTTTTTCTTTTTACTTTTAGTACAGACAAGAAAGTACTGTTGCATGTATAGCGCAATCCCAATGTCCTTAACTATGAACCTTTAGGGACTTAGCTGACATCACCTGGTAAATGGAGTGTGAGAGGCTGCAAGTGCTTGAAATGGTATAAACACAAATGGGACAGCAGTTTGCAGCAACATATCACGTTACCTTGATGACACTAAAACATGTTATGTACAATTGTGTTTAAAAAAAGAGAAGGTTTTACTCCCTGAATTTGAATGTCTTCCAGGCTCTTACCTTACGAGACAAGAGTTAACTGTCAAATAATCTATTTACTTGTTTTTGTCAAAAGTGTCAATAAGCAAAGTTAAAAGAAATGATTGCTGAGTAAACCTGGTGTGTAATATAGCCTATATGCTTGCATTGCTCTGCTTTCATGTGTTTTATGAATCATTCTAAATCTTTAATGTTAACCTTAACGTCAGAATGCTATGAATTGTGGGTAATTCCCTCTTACAGAAAGTGTGCATACTGTCTTTGAGAGAGCCCTTGAGAATAACCAGAAAATCATGCTGGTTCGCAAAATGCGACCGGATGCAGTAGGACATCCTGGTATTTTTGGCATACTGACTTTGACATACAATGTATTGGGCCACGTTAAATCTGTTTGTGGCATTCTAAATAGTATGGTAGTATTGGAAAGCACAGCATATACCCCCTTTTGGGCTGACTGACTACAAGGCTTTGGATTGATAGCAGCTCCCTGTCTCCCTTCTTGCGTTACTGCATCAAGGACACAGGACACGAGGTGAAAGAGAGTTCAACACTTAAAATGTCAACATACATACACACTCCTTGGCTTGTTGGAAGAACAACACTCTGTAAGTAGATAGAGCGGAGCCTTCGGCCCCAGGCATCTCCAGAGGATGCTGACCTACCGATTGACTGTTCTGCCTGTGATCTGGAGAACGTGCATTCTGACCTCTGATTAGGTGTGCTTATGTCCGCATTTAAGGCTTAGTGACAACTGTATGCAAGTGTAGCTGAGAGGAGAAGATACCATGTTTGGTATTAATTGTTTCTAGGTTAAATACCCCTTAAAGCAGTAACCTTCAGAATTGAGGGTGGCTATTGCATTTGTGACCACATTCCTGTGTATCCCTTGAATCGCTGTTGATCGGTTCACCTTGAATTCAAGATTCAATAAACCTTCAGCCTACGACAGTGAAAGTCTCTTGCTGCTTCTTCTTCAGTCTCACAATATTTCCATCACAGTGTTGACTGCAGTGCTATAGTGTCGTGCAAGGTTGTATTGTCTTTAACTGTGGTTGTGGTTGTGTTGCTCGGATAGGGATGAGACGATGGCTTGAACCTTAATGTTGTCTTCATCATCCCAGTGTTTAACAGCTAAGTTGTTTCAGATCTGGGTGGCACTCTTTGGTGGGGGCTGTAGATGTGCAAGTAAGTCGTTTTTTATTATTATTTATTTTCACTTAACCTGCATATCAATTTGCAATCCTCACACTACAGTGTAACACATAAAATGTGTTGCAATTTAAGCCTGAGTCTGTTTGAATGTAAAGATTTCATATAATTTCAGTAGGGGATAAAATTAGATAAAGAATATCATAATATCAGGGTAGTATTATACCCAGCCATGTTTACTATTGAATTCAAATAATCAATACTTGAGTTAAATATTTAGTGATTGAGTTATTTTAAACTTACATTACTTATAATACTTGGCACAAATCCATTGCGCCACAGTAACCCAGCACTTTTATGTGTATTTGTGGCCTGCATAAATTACTTGTTGCTCTGTCTGTTTTTTTTTTTTCTATTCTGTTCTACTCTATTCTATTCTAATTTGGAGCTTCAAACAGTAGTACCATTAAACATCAAATGAAGGCTCCTTTAGCTGCTGTTATCATACTGATCGAAAGCTTCGGAACAGCTTCGACATGGACCTCGTTTTCTCTTCAATTTCAAGGAGGAAAAATACAGTAAATATAAATACTCCAACAATTCTATTCCATACTATTCTACTCTTCTCCCCGCCCCACGCGCTGTCGTCACGCACTGGGCAGCCAGTGAGGCGGAGGGAGGGGGTGTCTCACAGCGGAGAGGCAGGCGGCAGCGTCGCAGCGTTACAACAAGAGCGGCTCTTGGGCTTTGTTTAGTGGATGTGAATGAGCTCCATCACCTCCTTCAGAAATGTGGACGGATATAAGGACGTTGCTACTTTTTCATTCGCTTCTCCTGAGGCTTCATTTCTCGGAAGGTCAGTGTGCTTTCCCCCCCCCCAGCGTGTGAGACGTTTATGAAATAAAATATAAACCGTGTGTGTGTGTGTGTGTGTGTGTGTGTGTGTGTGTGTGTGGGTGAGTGATGGAGGGGGGATGTGGAGGTGAGAGATTGGAAGCGCTGCCGGTACTCACACGCGCGTGTGCGTTTGTTACTAAGAGGATAAAAAAAGACAAACTTCTCTTTATGTTATAACGCAAGGACATGACTTGTTTGATTTTAATGTGTGATAGTTTGGTCTCTGAATGAATTGATTCGGGGTTCAGCATCTGTCATGTGTTTCCCGGCTGTGAGCGTCCATACTGCATCAGCGGTAGCTGTAGTAGCCCAGACTGAATCTTTGTCTCTATGTTGTGGAGAATTATGTCCGGCAGACACGGGGCCTATTCTGCTGCGGTTTCCTCCTCCTCCTCCTCCCCCTCCTCCCATGACAGCTTTTAATTATCACGGTAAAGTAGATAAACAAAAACTGAAAGAAAACGGGGATCATGACGCTCCCAGCGCCTCAGCCAATTGACCTGAATGAATGCTGAATATCAATTAGGCATTCATTTGCAAATTACAGTTGAACTACAAGCGGGTACTACTCCGCGATGTACCGCTTGTTTCGCTGATCCGTCTTGGAGCTGTTCTCCCCTCATGTTTTTTCTTCTTCTTCCAGCAACGGATGAGTGTGAGGATGGACAGTTTCAGTGCAACAACAAAAGGTGTATACCGACCATCTGGAGGTGCGACGACGATGACGACTGCTCAGACAACAGTGATGAAGAAAACTGTCGTAAGTGAAGAAGAAGAAGCAGAAGAAACATTCCTTTATTAGTCCCACAGTGGGGAAATTATTCTCAGCATTTGACCCATCCCTGTATGTATAGGGAGCAGTGGGCTGCCAATGACAGGCGCCCGGGGAGCAGTAAGTGTAACAGTGGAGAAATGAAGACATAGAAGCTCTGTTAACTGAGAATAAAAACACCTGTGATGATTGGGCTGTTATGCAAATATCACCATAAATGGTAATAACCTGTGACAATAATATCAAAATAGAACAAAATAATAAAAACTTAATTAGGTCACTGCAACCCCCCCTCCCCCCTTCCCAATGCCAACCACCAAGAGCAATTAACTGTGAAAATGTGTACTAAAACCTTAAAGCATCCTATTGTATTATTTGAATCTCATAGACTATTGACAATTTTTTTTAACCTACGAAAAAGGTTAAAATGAAATACTATTTCTTTATATCATTAATTTCATATAGAGACAATAGCTGGAACTGCTCCCATCAGCCATGAAAGCTTCCCTTAATGGTCTGTTCATGACTGGAATGTGTATTGAAGCCGAAGCTAAAAATGTTAAACGTTATGAACCTGAAAAGGCACCCATATTTCCCATGGGTCTCTGCCCTCTCATCATTTAGAAATTTTTTTATGGTGGATTTGCTATCCTATTAGCGGTTTCTCTATTCTCTCATTATGCAGGACAGTGTCTTATTTTTAGGGAGCTATTAAAGCTTTCAGAGTTAACAAAGAGGCACAAATAAAATCACGTTTTGAGTGGAGATCAGGCATGTGTGTGGGTGTGCCTTAGGCCCAGAGTGTGTGCAGCGGACTTCATATATATATATATATATATATGTATATTTAGCTCAACAAGCATGCTTTTTTAAATGACGGTTGATGGAACCATTTTCCAATCTGTCCGGCTGAGAGACGGATTGCGTGGTGCGTCAGTTTAGTGCACAGCACAAAGCTCTGACAGGTATTTTGGATGTGTTGTTCTGCGCAGAAATGATAACATTCCAGTTTCCTTTCTGAATGCGAGCCTGTGGCCTATATTTTGGAAGGCTGCTTGCGCTGAAACCAGGGAAGTTGTGCCAAAGCTGAATCCAAGCCCTGCATGTTTGCCATGCAGCAATGTTGTTTCGTGGTTAATTGTGGCTCGGGAGGAATTCCTGCACCTCCCCACACACATACATACTCTGTATCTCTCCTCATACATCTCTCAGTCTTTGTTTGTTTCAGTCTCTTTCTCCCACAAACTCCCACACACATAGACCTGTTGTATACCAACACCTCATGGTTCCTTGGTGTTATTCTGGAGGTGTTTTGCCGTTGTCGCCCTGTTTCTGAGGCCAGCAGGACGAGTCCTTGGGCATGCCAAAGAAAGCCCGTAATTTGGAGCATCTTAGCTGCTAAAACATTCATGTGTCACTGCCTCTCTCTCTCTCTCACATACACACACACACACACACACACACACCCCTGATGTTTGCAGAAAATCCTTACTCTATGAGGCTTTAGTTCCTCAGTGTTTCCTTTATGAATGAAATAGGAAATTGTTAGAGAGGTTTTATTACCCCCTGTGTTTTTTCCATCAGGCAGAGCTTCTGACACAGGGTTTGAGGGAAAACACTCCTGCTGAAAGCCTTTTAAGCTGAGACTACTGTCAACCCACCATTTGATGATCATGACAGTCCAGCATTACTTGCCATTATGTTAGAGAGTGGCCTTCACACGGTGTCCATTTCTTTTCCTCATGTGTGCTGTATCTGCGTGGGCAGGCGGATGAGGCCGAGTGAGATTTGTCTCTGCACTTGCATCAGCAGTGTTGGACCACTGATTGGCTAAACATAGTACTTGTTCAACTTTTACCCTGTTTGATTTGGAGAAGAGGTTCTCCGGCACTCTGTGCCGCTCTGGCAATATTTAATTAATGTGTTACTATTGAAGTCACTCTCAGGGGTCGCTTCTGTAAACCCTTTCTATTTCTACATCTGAGGCGGCTTAAAGACAGAGGGACAGACATTGTAGTGCGCAGTGAAGTGTAAACCTGCACAACATATGCTGCACAGGGGGAGATTGCGGTGAGGATTTAGCTTGTACACACAGCAAATCCTGTGCGGGAATTACACAGCTTGTTTCTTGTTGACTATTAAGTGTGTATGCATTTGTTTACATGTTTCTAAATGGTTGAATGGATGGTCTCCTGTTTTTATTCTACTTTTATTAATAATTTATTATTTTACAACACAAGGCCAAGCCCAAGAGTTTAGTGACTGAATGTGTGCAACAGACCACGGTTATGAAATATGCAGGAGGAAACCTTTGCCGCAGCTCCTTATTTGTCATGCCAGTGTCACCTTATATCCAACCTGCCTGCTGCTTGTAGTTGAACCTCAAAGAACAGGTGTAAATATCTTAAAACGCTGCTATTGCTCATACCCAGCATGCATCACGATCCTCCTCCACCCTGTTCCTGTTCCTAACCACATCCCCCACCACTCCACCCCCAGAATGCATCCCATCACCATCCCCCATCATCCAAACTCTATCCCCCCTCTGACCAGTCACTCGCTGCATGCACCCATACATTCATACATGCATAATTGCACTCATAAGTATGCGTGGACAAGTATGTACCAGACGCACGTGAGCATAAATGCATAAATAATCCCAAATGAATGCACACCAATGAACTCTGAACCTTTCAGCAGAATTGAAAAAGTGAATATAGATAAACCACAGTAGAAACTGTACATTTAGTTTACTGGTTGAATCACATTTCTGGGGAGGATGAGATGCAAAGCCTCCCTGCCTCCCGCCTCGTCTGGAGTTGACAGCAGTGGAGGCAACAAAGGAATTGTGCCTTGAATTCTCAAAGTCAGATTTGTGCAAACTCTGACACGGAGCCGCCGTTTAATCTTCGCCCTGATTATAGCAGCAATATCGGCCAGTTTCCATCTATCTGCGTTACCTTCAAAGTCCAGCACATCCGACTTTCTCCTCATCCTTGAATGTGATAACGATCCATATCATCCGTGTTCATGAATTTAACATCAATACCTGCAGGGACGCATTTTCACACCGCCACTCAGAGCTCACACAGTATTCTCTTATTTTCCTCGGAGATGCAGAGTCAGCAACAAACTGTGTGCCTCCTCCTTTTGTATTCTTTTACCTAATAAATCCACACAACTCCTTCAGAGGCCAACTAAATTGCGAAACTGCTGGTGCCCCTCCACACCTCCTGTAGTCATAATGAATTTCTTTATCCCAAAGCCTTTCAGTGGATGCAGCCTCCTCTGCTGCTGTTGTTGTAACCAAAGTCCTGCCAACACACCAAGTTTTAGAAATGCACAAAGTGTCCCTCCAGCCTTGCTTAGTGCTTTATTCAACAGTGTTTAAACCTCAGCTGCTTTTTGCTCAGCTTATATCTGACACCAGTTGAGGAAAGAGTAAAACCACGAGTGTGAAGTCGGTGTGCAGGTATTTTTTATTTATGTTGTCTCAGGACATCTGGATGTTCTCTACGGTCTTGCACAGTCTGTACATTGACCACATTATCGAAGATTAGTTTCGCCTTCCAACTGTATTGCCTTTCTTTCGAGCTTCTTGTGTGTTTCTGGTAAAGAGCTTATGCTATGTACACTGAAAGGCACCGTGGCCCTCTGAATGTCTTTTCATCTCTTGACAATAGTCACAATTGCTCACTGGCTTTAACTTTGAAATCCTTTTCATTTTCTTTAAAACGCTACAGGTGTTGCTCTGGATAGAATGACAGAGCTCTGAGAAACACGTTGGTATGGTATGTTAATGGTAACTGAGAGAAAGAGGGCCTCACATTATGGGATTGTTTTTTGTATTGCTTATCCTCTGCATTTTATTTATTTTTTTTCAACTGCCTTCTGCTTTTTCAAAAAGGATTTGCTGTCAGAAATCTCTCAGACCTATTAATGCTCACCTACAGGCATGTCTTGTGTTGCCCGCATCACCGTCTATTGGTTTAAATTGACCTATTTGGAAGCAATTCGGTCCCATTGCCATCCACATTATAGCCACCATCTATGTATCTGAATTCCTCTCCTCTCTGCAAAAGAATCCAACAAAAATCAGGAAGAAGTTTGCTGCAGCATTGCGACTCTGTTCCCTGTGGCATCAACACTTCCAGGCAACTCTCCTTTTTAAGGAACTCGGGTCTCTGTTTTTATTGTTGTTTATAAGTAAGCTGTACTGGACACTTCCCAGCCAGGGATCTACTTGTAAATGCAGAACAATAATAATACAGTAACCTGTGATGTTCTGGGGGAAAGAGAGAGACCCATCATCCCGATGTGTTTCAGACTTATCAGTGTTGAAAACATGTCTTGTTTTTGTTTCTTCCTTTGTATTTCCCCCCACAGTTGCTGCCGCTGCTTGTCTGCGTTTGACAGTGTAGAAGTGAGGCGTTGTTGATGGTGTGGAAAAACAAAGACAGTGGGATAAAAAAACAAGTGAAGTTGAAGTGATAGAAAGTGGGCAAAGAAATCATTCTGCCCTGCAGGGTGAGACGGGGCAGTTGTTTGTGTTCGTATCAAATTCTCTCCATAATCTCCACGGCTGTTGACAACTGTACGAAGCGTGGAAAGGATTAAGCCTTTATCTCGCCATGCAATGAGGCAGGTTTTCCACGGGTCTGTGGTCAATTTGTGTTCCGTTAACTCACTCACTCGCAGTTCACATAATCATGATGGAGCCCTAATAAGCAATACAATGTTTAATCTCCCAGATAAAGCAAACATTTTAAGGCAAAAATTGTTTCATTCATGAAGTCTAATTGATCTCGAATCTTTTATCTGTAACCCTTTTTTTTCATTTAAGCAAGAAGCTCAGAAAGTCTGTTTATAGTTTATATAATATAATCTACTGCAGAGGTCGATAGATAGATATTATAGATTCCTTAGCTCGGTTTTTATTTTTTTCAATTCAATTTTAAGCAAGATGCAGAGCACACACATGTAACAAA